GAATCTAATCATCACCTGGGAGATAGTCAGGGAGAGTTTTTGAAAGATGTGAAGAAATTCCAGAGACTTGTGGGGAGACTTTTGTATTTGTCTATGACAATGGGTGTCCTTAGTCATTTCATGCACAACCCTAGGACAACTCACTTTGAAGCTATAGAGGATCTTGAGATACCACAAGAAGTTTACCAGAGCTAGTTTGTTGTTCTAGAAACATAGTCACTTAAAGGTGGAAGTATATACTGATGCAGATTGGGTAAGAGCAGTCAATGACCGAAAGTCTAYCAGTGGGTATTGTGCCTTTGTAGGAAGGAACCTGGTCATATGGAGAAGTAAAAAACAAGGTGTGGTGGCTAAATCTAGTGCTGAAGCAGAGTATAAAACAATGGCTCAAGGGGTTGCTGAAATCATGTGGATAATAAATCTATTAGGTGAACTGGGTTTCGTAGTGAGCAATCCTATGTCACTCTTCTGTGACAATAAAGCTGCCATCAGTAATGTTGCTAATCCAGTTCTACATGATAGGACGAAACATATTGAAGTGGACAAGCATTTTATAGAGAAATTTGAAAATGGAGAAGTGTGTACACCATATGTCAGCTCAAAAGAACAATTTATAGATATCTTCACCAAAGGTCTTCATCATGTGCGGCACAAAGATTTATGTGACAAGTTGGCCATGATTGATATTTATGCTCCAATTTGAGGGGGTGTTAAAATATTTTAGTTGTTGGTGTTAGGGTCTGTTTGACTAGTTAAAGAGTTTTTTATTTTCATTTTTTCACTTCTGTTATGTTCGTTATTGTACTCAGGGGCACAAGGGTCTTTTCCCTTATTATTTCTACCGCCCTATATATATTATAATAAAGGTTGGCACCGCCAGCACTATTACATTGCAAATTCCTTCTATCCCCTTGTCTCTTCTCTCTTCTCCTTCTCTTCTCTTCTCTTCCTCTTATTTCTAGTCGGCCATACTGTCAAGAGTGATCATTGATCAACTGAAAGATTCTTCTCAAGGAATATTAGCCAGATGGAAGGCTCAATGTCAGGGGGAACCCATTGGATCCAAATGCAATAGGTTTCAACACATATATATTAATCTGACTGAAAAACCATAACCAATAAAACTGATTTCTTGTAAATTTCAAAGTGAGCCAGTCCACCAATCAGAGTAGCTTCCTTCTGGTTTATGATGATGACCACATAACATCAAGCCGTGAACTCTGTAAAGCATGGAGTAGAACACTTCTTCCACCATCTAGCACCTACACTTGATGTGGTATATTCAAGCCTTTCAACCTTCTAAAGAGGTATATACTCTATGAATTACAAACATGCAATCCTCAGTTCAGCAGCAAAAGGATTGAATATTTCTTGAATTTTGATAGGACAATACACAATGATAGATTTCACTTTTATGCCGAAACCACACAAAATATAAAACCAATTGGCAACTAGAGAAGATGAATGAAAAAATGCAAAACAGAGCAACTCAAGAAAGCACAGGGAAATTTAACGTGGTTCAGCTTTAAGCCTATGTCCAGCAGGAGTAGCAGGTAGGCTTGCAAGTCGGGATGGGTTAGGCTAGGTTGAGGCCAAACCTAGCCCAACCCTAAGTTCTAAACCTCCAACCCTAACCCTAACTAAATTCTTTCAAACCTTATCCAACTCAACACCAAGTCAATTTCGGGTTGGGACCAACCCGACCCTCTTCCCATCCCTTAAAATTTCATACAATTTCTTAATTTTAGATCTTAACTCAACTTTCGATATATATATGTATTAGAATTTATTTGTTGACGTTTTTTTTGTCCAATTGGTACAAAATTCAGGAAAACAAGTGTTAGAAATGACTATAGTTTATTATGAGTTATGACTTGTGATGGATCTTTTATGTGTGACAAACAACAGAGAAGAGATGAATAAATTTTTCATAGAACATAAAATAATGTTATTAACGTTTTAGTCCTTTCTGATTAGGATTAAGTGAAGTAATTATTTTAAAAGAACTACATGATACTATGCGGCGGGGGATATACAAATATCAAGCATCTAAACCAATCAATGTATGTTATATATAACATATAACATTTATTTATATATGACATGTACTACAGAGTCGGGTTCAGGTTGGGTTGGGTTGCCTAAGGGGTCAACCCCATCCCAACCCAAAGTAAAGTCGGGTTCATGAATTTCAACACTAACCCTAACCCGAGCATCAACCTGACCCAACCCAACCCAACCTTTTCGACCCAAGTTGCAACCTTAATAGCAGGAATCCACTATAATCAACAACGGAATACAAGTATGAACAGATTCTCTCAAACCCTTTAACCTTGTACACCCAAGCCCTTTGCATCCACCAAAAACCTCAATGAATTTTCCCCTTCAATTCCTATTCCACAAAAGTTGAGTTGGGTCATGGAGCGGACTGCAACTGGAATTCAAGGCGTACACAATAGTCACAATCCGATTTCTTGTACTTGAGCCCTAGAGCTGAATGAGAAATAGGATTTGCACGTATTCCCTGGAAAATGAAGAAAACATGTATTGAATCAGTAATGAACTAAATCATGAAAATAGATATGCATCCCACAAACAAGATCTAAAATGCCTTGGATTATGGGATTAGGCCGGTTTATTATTTCCAAGTCTCCATCTTCATCTCTAATCAAAAGGAATTATAGATTTTAACATGACTTTGCAATTAAAAATGTTAGCCGATGGCACAAAATAACAGAACAGAAATTTTCAGAAGAACCCCAAATTCTAGAAAGTTGTCAATTCAAAAACTAGCACACTGACAGTCTGACTATCTAGCAACACAAAGGGTTGAAACTCTACAAAGATCCATTTGATTAACCTGTATCACCATTTGTTCAGTTTCACTGTTCTTATACCAAACAGGCTTTCACAGATTAAGATACCTAGAGAAGTGCATTTGTTTTGGCTTCTTCAGTTGATCGCAATCATTGCGACCCTTGCAAAACCAATTCTTAGTATAGTTGATTATCCACTCCAAAGTTGGCTATAGAAGGATATTGCACTAAAATATTAAAATCAGAATATCATATTCATATCTGACTGTATGTGTCAATAATTCATCACTTTATATACAAGATCAACGGTACAGCCACGGAGTCCTTGAATTCATCATAAGAATTACAGAATGTAAACTTCATAACCCCTTGTTTAATTGTGTAAAAAATGTGAAAAACTTTCTCATGTTCTATGCATTTGTGATCTCAAGAGTACTCCCCCTTGAAGCTAAAATTGATCTTACATGAAATACTGATGAGAATAATTAAAATGAAGTCAGCAAGTTGTTTATATGTGTGGCTGTCCTTTAAGGGAAAACTCTTAATTAACAACTAGTCTCTGTAATAAATATATCTACACTACACAATATAAAATTAATTGATTCATATTTTAAAATAATGCACTTAGACTACTAACTAATATACAGAAAAATAGAACAAAAGAAATGATATCTTACCTAGTGACTTCTAAATGATCCAATAGTCCCAATCTGATAATATATGCATAGTGAAAATGAGCAGTAGGGTACCACCAGAAATATGATCTGGAGGAAGAGAAGCAACAGGCATTGCTTTGATGGGTGCTTATTGGTTGGTAATGATCACATGGTTAATGAGGTTCAGCTGTAATATTTGAGATCTACCACTACTACATACTTGGGTTCATTAAGACAAACACTGAGCAGAAAGCAAGCTCCATACGTGTGTTCATATCAGCAGATAGCAAATTCAATGCAACTAGAGTTGGGCCCTGTTTTTTTTTTTTTTTTTAAGATAAATGAGAGTAGTTCAATTGAAATAAATATCAGAAATACAAACAGCCTAGGAAGAGGCACGGGATGTTACCTCCCCCAGGGAATGAATCATAAACACTAAACATGCCCAAACCAGAGATACAAATTACAAAGTAGCCCAAAGCAGATCACCCCTTGTTTGGCCAGAGAATCAGCCATTGCATTTGCTGATCTGCTAACCCACTAGAGTGGGCCCTGTTTCAAATGAAAACAATCAAAAAATCCATAATTATAGAACATAAGTACAAGTATTATAGAATCAAAATTTATATTAAATTGCTGAGACAGAAGGAATAAATAAATGTTAGTTCAAACTAGAAGCATGTGTACAATAGCATTGTCCCCACACTAGTCCTGCAATTGATCAAATTAGAAATTAATATCTATCTATCTATCTATATATATATATATATGAATCAAAAATTAAAATGTTACTACATCAAATACAAAACCATAACATAAAGGCTTTCAAGATATTATATTAGTACAGTATGTCTTATATCCTATAGTGATTAAATCTAATTTAGTCTCTTGATCAAATAAAAAACCAAGCCTAAACACTAAAGAAGATTGCAACATGGATGGTGGACAGTGGATACCAAACATAGTTGCTGCCTACTCAATAGAAGATCAACAGCCAATAATCAACTAATTAGTCAAGCTCTGATCTTCGAGATATAATAATAGATAGATAGAGAAATAGGTCAGAAGAAAGTAGAAGCACTAAAAAATTTTGAGATTTGGTGTTAGACGGTACTGTTGAGAGAAATTTTTCAAATTGAAAGTTATAAAGTTAATGAGGGTGAGATGTTTCATACTGATGGATATATACATGTGAAGTTACAGGTTTATCCAATCAAAGATAGTAGAGCAGATTAAGTGTTGTCGCTGTAAGTATTCAATAGAATAAAGGTAAGGGTGATGAGAAACAACCAGATGGTTCAGGGTTCTCTATTTATAAGTCCCCTAGTAAATCTAATTAATGAAGCAGGAGTGGTGTTTATTTCTTACCCATACCATACCAATTTTGTATGTAGATGCCTCTAAGAAATAGTAACCGTTGGATCTACATCTACCTGCTACCAAAGAGGACAACAACGATATTAATACAATTGGGGCTTGGATGGAGGAGCAGTTATAAATTAAACTAAATTGAATTAAAAACATACAGTGGGTTTACATGAGAGAAGATGAATACATACCACCTATTGATGCAATGCTGTCAGTATCAGATTCATGGTGCCACATCAAGAAGAGAGATGAGAACATCGGAGTGAAGCAGGTAATTCATGGTGCCACATAACTATATTTATGGTTGTAATCACTTGTGGGCTCGTTCTCTACTTTAAATATATTGAACATGATTCCTTTTGGAGTTTGCCAAGGAGGAATCGCCACTCAGATATTTGGGCAAGTATGCTTTAATGTAGAAATTTAGTGAGAAAAGGGCTGCACTAGGTGGTTGGTTCGAGTTGGGATATCAATGTCCTCCATGACTTGTGGATTAGTGGTCGAGTCCCGAAGCACTTGCACAGTTGTACAAGCTAGAGTTACTTTTGATGGAAAGGTTGGGTGATTTGGAAGAATATATGTAAATTGGTAATGGAGGGTTGTACTTTTGATCCATATTGGACTTTACTTACCATTCAAGCTTCTTTGCAAGATTTGGATATGCTAACAGATCAAAGACCTCCACGCCCATTGCACCTATCCTAGAGTGATAGTCAAAGTTGGAGCAAACCCCCTAGCGGTTTCCTTAAGGTAAACTTTGGTGGCACCTCTAGGGGTGTTTACGGGTCAGGTTGGGTCGGTTTGAGTTATTTTTTTCAATCAATCCGATATAGTCGGTTTACTTATTGACTAAATTGAAACCGACCGATCCTGAACCAAAATCGACCCAAACATGAATGGTCGGTTTATCAGTTTAGCCGGCTTTTATATATATTTTAAACTAAAATATCTATGTATATTTAAGTTTATTTCTTTTTAGTTTTTGTGCAAAATCAAAATATATATTTAAATCGATTAGTTTTTTATACAAAACTGATTTTTTTTGTTAATATATATTTAAATTTATACAAAACTGAATTAAATATATTGCATTATATTTGTATTGGCTTTACATTTTTAATTTGTGTCATAAATAACCAGTTTTTTTTAAAGTTCAAACAAAACACAAATAAAATATATCAACATTTAACATATAGGGTAAGGGACTAATTAATAATTACTTAAACATATAAGATCAATTCGGTTCGGTTTGGCTTCAGTTTTCATGTAAGAAAACCGAAACTGAATCAAATTATCGGTTTATTTTCTCATACAAACTGAAACCGACTGGTGGTTTTGAAAAACTGACCAACTCGGGTTGGGTCGGGCTAGTTTGGTCAGTTTGACATTTAATGTGAACACCCCTAGGCGCCTCTTCAACTCATAAGTCTAGAGCATATCAGATATCTCATAATGATAAAACATCAGAAAATCAGATATCTCATAAGGTAAAATAACCTTCAATTTTCGGCCCCATCCAATTTAAGTTGTTCTCTCTTGCGTCTTGTGTAAGGGATTGGTGTCTTGGATCCTATTTTGTGTGGCTGCAATTATTTTCTCCTAATTTGCAGGTTTCGAGCGCCCAAGTATCAGCCTTCCATCTCTACATCTCCATGTGCCATCACTGGTATCAGAGCGAGGTTAATCGAGTATTTGGTATAGTTGTGCCACACTGAATCACATCCCATCTTTTAAGCTTCAGAAAGGGAGAGGAGAGAGAAAACAACCCAGTTCGAGGGTTTCCTCCTATCCCCATCGAAACCCTATTCGACAATCTCTCTCCCAACTGCATAGCCACTGAATCCATTGTTCTTCTTCTTCTTGGAGTAATCAGAAGAGCTTGATCTATCTTTCTATCAACACCAATGCCTACTTCATGCAATAAGCCCCTGTTTAACAATTTCCTCGCAAAGTCCATTCGAGCCGCAGACCACAACTTCTTCCACCCTCTTTTTTCAATCAAGAACCAACATCAACTTCAATCGAACTAGGGTTATCTGCAATGCCATCATTCACATGCATTTAGTTACAATCGTTTAATCACTGCAAAAGAAAGCATGTATTGGTCATTTGCTTTGGCCAAGGATACTACCAAGGTTTAAAATATTGTAATGTATCAGTCGTATCGACTGATACGTACCGTTTTGATAAGAACCTGATACACGAAACATGTATAAATCATTTATTCCAGTTTTTATGTATCAAACGATACGGGCCCATATCGGGCTATTTTGAATATGTATTAGTCAATACGAACCTGAAACAGGCCAATACAAACCAAATCATTCTGGTTCCCCTTCTTCCATTAATTTGGTTAATTTCTATTCAATACCGAATCCTTTCATTAATGTATTTTCTTACTCCTATATTTATGTTTAACTTCTCCTTCATCAATTAGTCCTATATTTAAAGAAAATTTAAATTCAAATTTGAATTTTAGTGCCTAATTCCAATTCGATTAATTAATGATTTTCTCTCTCATTAATTTTGTTTGGTTAGTAAAAAAACTACAAATGTTAACAATAGCAAGACTTAAACCTTGGTCACTAGATTTTAACGCCCATAACTTCGCCACTAAGCCATTATGATTTATTTGTTACAATTATATACATTTTTAGTTTTAAGTAAATTTCGTCTTTTCTTAGTGGTGCTTATAAATAAATGCTGAAATTAATTATTAAAATTTATATACTTATAAATATTAAGATAAATTATATTGATTATTTGAAAATTGATGTATATACATTCACATTTTAGTTTTTTTTTTCTTTTTTCACAGTGTAGTTATTCCATCACTTTTAAACATTTATTAATTATATCTTGACATGTTACATTTTCTATAAACATTAAATTATGGCTTTTTATATTTAAATGACTTAATTCAATCATATAAAATTTGTAAGTATTGTTACTAATATATTTTTTTTGATTTATTTGAATTTCCTATCATATTTATGCATTTCTTTATTTTTCGTCCATATCCATGCATATCTAAAATGTATCTCGATACATTCTTAAAATTGTCTTTCCGATACACCTTGCATTTCTAATACTTTGAACCTTGGAGGCTTGGATACAACTACAACTCTTATTCACAAATCTGAATTTTAGGTCAAGAAACCCTAAGTAAATCTGCGCTTTTGATCCTATACATATCTAATAGTAAGATTTGGTCATCCTAGAGAATTGATTGCTGGAAATCAGCTCTGAATCCAAATCGGGTCAAACCCTACTCAAAGCTGAGAGTTATTCAATACATGTTTGCCATCGGGCAGTACTCTGAGCAAGTCGATTAGAAGGAGCAATGGGAGCTAGATAGATTAAATTTGCTTGTTGGTGACAATATTTAAGACGAATTGAATAACTTGAGCAAAAGAGAATCGATTTGCAATTTTTTTAGCATAAACAGCTAACTGCTCTCTTCATTTACTTTATTTTTTTATATAGCCTCCGAACTTGAACAACAGTCTCCTAATTACAACCAATTGCTTTCTTCATTTACTTTTGCAATACTCTTTACCATGTTTGCTACTGCTTTGTCCCAAGAGCTTAGCAAAATTGAGAAATTGAATGGCAACAATTATGCTCTTTGGAAATGTAGGATGTTAGGAGGATATTAGATGAAGAGAATGTTGATTATATATTAGATATGTATGTTCTTGCTAAACCTACTGATGATGATGCATTAACTATAATTTGTGAATATCGAAAATGGGAAAAGGACGATCTCGGACCAAGTTGGGACCATGTTTACAAACTTCTCCCCTTTTGGGATTACAGGCCAATATCAGACCAAGCTGGATTTGGCTATTAAGATTGGCAGCTATTGCAAACATTGGCCAAACCATTCTTTCTCTGGTACTCAGGTGGAGTGATGGGATCTACTGTGGGCATCATGTGCATGAGGTCAAGCTAGGGAGTCAGATCTTCAAGATGGTTAAAGTCATTCATAGTCAGACTGGGTCCTATGACTGTCTGCATGGTGTTAGACAGTTTTGTATGCCCTTAGCTTCAATCATTTTGATGTACTTTTGTTATTTAGTGGAAATAAATAAAGTGCATGTTTGATTCATGTTGTTTGGTTTAATTCTGTGTAAAA